TTCTAACGACATCCTGATGGCTTCTGATGTGGGTGATTGCTCTGTGTTAGTACTTCTTGACCTAAGTTCTGCGTTTGACACTGTAGACCACCACCACTTTTATTTCCAAAATCACACGATAAATACATTTTTGAAGCTTAAAGGGAAAAAGACAGCTCTCCCTCCCACTCTGCTGTTCCGCAGCACCGCTCCCCCTCCCTCTGGCTGGAATTATGAATGTAAGCGTAGAGTAATCATAAATAACACGGCAGGGTCCGTTACAGTTTGTTTTCATCTGATTTCAATTAAACAAAGTCTTGGCTTTCAGAATATTAAACTTGTTTCGGCAAATTCAGATGATAAATACAACTTTGAAGCTTGTAACGGCATAATTACAAGCGCAGAACGGAGTAACTTAACGTCACAGCAGGCATAACAACATCCGGTGTTTCTCGTGAGTGTTTTCCCCGGGAAACAAACACAATACTCACAAATGCAAAATTACACAAACATACACACGTATACACACACAAACACTCGCAAGCTTCCCCCAGACCAGTAATCCAAACGAAAATATCTTCCCTCCGTAGTATTTTGATCATTTGCTCCGCTAATAATCGATCAGATCGATGGATTCCAGAGAAGAGAAAACTTTGAAGGCCTTTTTCTCAAAATGATGACTCTGTAACAGTCATTATATAATGTGACATATTTCGCTTAATATTTGGAGTACAAAAACAATCCTGATATCATTAGAAAGCAGGAATCTCCTCTTTCCAAAAGTGTATACAACTCAAAATGGGTCTTCGGGTCAATGCGAATGATTTCGATAGAGCAGGTCACGTATATCAATTCCTATGTCCCAGCCAGTATATAGAAAAATTATAGCTCCATCATGTGTTTTAAAAAGAAAAGCTAATATTGTTCACTTTAACTAGCAGAATGCATGAGATACAAAATGTAGCATTCTTACAAATTCACAATTCATTTTAAAAAGTAATATCTTGATTTGCCCTTTTTTCCTGCTCCCCCTTCTGTCTTCTTCCTCTTCAGTATCTCGAGCAGACAATTCAACAGAAAAGGGTTTTTGCATCCAATAATGAGATATTGATCGAGGCCTTAAATCTAGGTGTCCAATGATGTGATAATCAGCGTTAGGGGTGTAGCGTCTGTGAAGGTTTCATAAGTGCGTGTAATGGGTCTTTATGACTTTTTAAGGTCACATCTCTGCCTTGCTGCGCTCCACAGACTGTTGATTGATTGGACTGGCAGCCTCGGCAGGCAGAGAGTAGAACGACGTGCTATTCTATGCAGCGCTGAAAACTGTTATGCTATTAGTGTTCACATTTTCACAGTGCAGAAAGCACTTAGGGAAAAGAGCAGTGAGGGCCAGCCTGGATTTTCCTTTTAGAGAATATCGTATAGCACTAAGATCAATTTATTGTAAAATCTACATTACTGCAGGACTTGAGTATGTTGTAAGAGGTTAATATCACACCATGAACATACTTCATACATAATTCCATTGTGTTTCTAGGAATGGTGTAAAGTATTAGCAAAATAAACCTACTGACACTGATTAACTGCAGTATTACAACAAATATTGTAAATTGTGTCTACATTGGTATTTCTTTTTAAATCTAACAGCATTGTAAATATTGTCTGCAAAGCAACCTAATTTAGCATAAATACTTGAAAAGCACTTAATCCATAACTGTACCAGTAGCCTGCAATGATGTCCATCAAGAAGAGTAAGAAAGCAACAAGTGATCATGTGAGAGGTGCATAAAATGTATATTTCGTGCTAAACATTTTTTAAATGCAAACAAGGAAGCTCTATTGTAACCATAGTTGTGGATGTTGATGTTTAAATGTGGTCACTGAAAATATATTTAACTGTAAGTTGAATCAATTCATTTCAAATTAGCATTTGAACTACAATCTGTGTGAAGCAGTACTTGTCAGCATTTCTTAAAAATAATAATATACAAACAGGGTTGATGGCGAAAGCAGCATGCAGGCTGAATAGCACTAAAGAAAAACACTTATACTCGACCTCATAAGGTTCCAACGATAATGAATTTCTTTACACAGCAAAAAAGTATTTAACACACCGTTTTTTTTACAGAGCTAACGCAAAAAGTTGATATATTTACTGGAATGGCGTGGCATTGCAGTTGTGTACTCCTAGCATTGCTGTTGAGAAATGTGCTGTCAAGTGTGTCATCTTGTTTGCAAATGTAAGCACCTGAATGCTACAAAATACTAATTCATGCAGTCAGGGTATTTAACTGATCAAAAGCTCAACAAGTGGCCTACGAGTGAACGCCACTCAGAGTCCTGCACGGGTCTGATCTTCAAGACCCCGCAAACCGACCCAAACCCGCATATCCTATGAGCAGTGAAAACATGTAATTATTAACACGCGCAGTTCGTATTTGGCTCAAAAAGCGTGGGATGTTGGTTATTTTCTCCATGTAGGAGGACACCAAAAGCCTCCCAGATTTTGGATTTCGCTCTTGAGGAAGTGTTATTGAAAATGCTGTATTCTCCGCTAGAGAGCTTCACCTCAGCCATTTCGAATGTGGCGCACTCAGCAGCAGATTGATNCTCGTTGGATTTCGCTCTTGAGGAAGTGTTATTGAAAATGCTGTATTCTCCGCTAGAGAGCTTCACCTCAGCCATTTCGAATGTGGCGCACTCAGCAGCAGATTGATGCGGCAGCGGTGCAAAATGAGGTTATGATTATGCGTGGTCCCGCGGGGGAAACGAATGAGGATTTAAACATTAAATTAAATTATTATTATTTTAATATATTTATTATGCAACACCCACGACACGACCCGCATCTTCTTTGTTTTACCCAGAACCAAACCGGGAAAAAAATGTTTGAAAAAATACCACCCGCGAATCACTCTTTTTGCGGGTCACCCGTCTGGTACCCGACCCGATGCAGGACTCTGACGCCACTAGTGGCATTTCCTTAAACGTACTGCAGTCTCACCTGAGCATGAGATTCATGAGCTGAAGCCCCTCCCCTTTGAGGAAGCGGTCCCGATTGGCTGCCAGCATGAGGCAGGAGCACAGAGCGTCAAAGAGGTTCTCCATCATCTCCTGCTCCTCGGCCGTGGACGGGTTGTGCCGTTTGAACACCTGAGAGGGAGGGAAGGGAGCATTTAGAAAAGGAAACACTGGCAGCCATGTTGCTTTTACGTGACAAGGACATTCTTGGTGACATTGTTTAATAGAGTAACTTGGGAGTGTGGGGACGATATTTACTCATTTAATCGTGAGAAGGAATAAGCCTACCATGACGGAAACATTAGCTAGAGAGCCACTACTAATGGGACTTTTAATAGCTAATTTGGATGGTGATAATTTTAATTTCTGCTCTGAGTGTGTGCGAGTGGGGTTGATTAAAAGACTAAGAATAGGGTTAGATATTAGCTTAGCATTAGACTGGTCTTGGTGGGGACCTACAGGTTAGAACACCATTATACAGACAGCATACTACTCATGTTACAGCTTGCATGTCGAGATGTTGAAAAAAATGACTGATGCTTTGAGGCTCAACGGATGACGGGGAGTGGTAACTAAAAATAGCGAGTAGAAGCTGAATCTTACAGATAGTTGCTGCAGTAACACATCAATGCCATCCATCTCGCCCAAAAGTTCTCTGGTATCTGTGGAAAAGAGAATAAAATATAAAGTGAGGTAAAGATACAAATGGGAGTAATGGCACAACAGGCAGATTCAAATGGGATGGTTGAAAAAACATTTAGGAAGCAAAAGGAAGGACCAAAAGCAGTGTGAGAATAAAATGTATAAGTGGATAAAGGAATGAGGCACAAGAAACACAAAAGAGAGGGGGAATGAGTGCCACACGACAAACATAAAGCATTCAAGGAACCTCTGGAAATAAATAAATTGGGTCAGTATAAAATGTACTGCCTCACTCCCTAAGTTATTCTTCCTTGGCCAGAATATTAAAATGATTTTTGAAGTCACACAATACAGTTATTTTCACTTAGTGGGCACAAATGTGTCTGGCTTCATGACAGACAACAGCAGTTCCTTGGTTGAAAAAACAATCGATTACATCAGCACCACAGGCAGGACCACAGTTGGAGCTGTTAAGCAAACTGAAACATTTTCTGAAATTTGATATAACCCCTTTATAGTTCTCAGATCCTTTTACATTAAACATTACAGTCTTAGAATACTCCTTTTTCATATAAAAAGGCCTGATTTCAAAAGTTTCATTAAGTAAAGTTTTAGCAACAAAATGTACTTAAAAAGAACATTCAAGTCCAATGTATGCGTTTCAGGCAGGGGGGGGGGGGTTATGAGGGAGAGAAACTCCCTCTGGAGGGAAGCATGAGCTGAAGATGGCAGGAAGTAAAAAGGGACACAGTTATGTTAGAAAAAAACTAAAAGAACCGTTATTACGTTTCAAGAGGTGGATGCGTCAACACATCAACAGTGTTTGTGTTATTAGACCCACTGCCAGACGGGGGTGTAAAAAAAGAATGAAATCAACCTACTACAGCTTTGGGTTAACAACTGGAATAAGTACTGTACATTTAGGAGTCAGGAAGTGGTAATACGTACGCCTATGTCACAAAAAACACATCACAAAACAATATTTTGCTAATTGGATTTGATACTTTCTCTAAAACAGAAGCATTTAATTGTAAAAAATGAAAGAATTTACAGGAATAAATCATTAGTAGGGATGAGATGCAGCGAGGTTTTGAGAGTGGGGGTTTAAGTCAAATTTGACAGCAGGGCGCAATAATTACATTTAAATTAGCACATCAAGGATTTTCCCAAATTGTCATCACCTCTAATAGTAGTCTGTGATTTGTTTTATTCTCACTTCAAGACAGTGACAGTCTTATAAAAAGAGAACATTATTCGTGAGAGCACTTATCCTTTTTTTTTTTTAACTACTTTTTTGGGTCAAATTGTATTCTGTTTTTGAAGGGAAGGAGGGAGAGGATGAATAAAAGGCGGCGCTGGGGAAGAGGAGGAGAAAGATTGTAAAAAGAGACAGGACACCCAATGCATATCAATATGGCTTGTACCATTAATGAGAACATATCCAAGGACCAGATATTCCCATGGCTATATGAGGCTTTACAGGGGTTTTATTGAGGGAGGGGTACAGAGGCAGCAAATAAACAACGAAGTAAATAAGTGAGACAGCGGAGGGAAAGATGAAATATGTGACAAAATGAAAAGAAAATAAGAAATAAAACAGCACAGAGAGAAAATGGATAGTGTGGTTTCTCTGTTAGAGAAAGCTGTGAGGGGACAGAGGAGTGGAAGATAAACTAACATCATTTGGAGCCACAAAGCATTTAGCGAGACACACTTACTGTCATTGTTCTGCAGCAGGATGGCCAGGATCTCACTGCAGTACAGCTTGTTAGCATCAAACGGCATCTTTGCCTGAGAGGGGGAGAGACCCAAATCCAATTACCTCTCATCTTCAGAAACTCCAGAGACCAGAGGATAACAACAACCCCAACGTATTATACAGCAAAATATGTTTTCTTTTAATTGGAGCAAACCTCCTGCCTCATCGTTGTGCTTGGAAATGGTATAAAGGAACCTTTATATTAATGTTCTAACTTATGCATGAAATTGTTTCCGTAAAAGGTTACCTGAATAAACATTTCATTGCACACCAAAACATTTTTTATCCATTTCAAATGTAGTTTTTTTAAAGAAGAACTGACTTAAAACAACATGAAATACTACCCTTAACTGTGGAATAGGCCATTTTGCAGGAAATGTTCAGAAAACAATTAGGGCTGCAACAAGCAATTCTCTTCTTAATCAATACATCTAGGGATTATTAAACATCTGAATAATATCATCCTTTTGAGAAAGGCCAATCAGCAAATGTTCATATTCGAAGGCTTGAACAAGAGAAATATTCGTTTTTTGTGTTTAAGTTATGACTTAAAACAAATAACACAATGTCAAAAGTTGCTGATAATTTTTCTTTTAACACATTAATTGACTAAATGCAGCTCTAAATAATATCAAATCAAAAAATCAAACTTTAATACACAAAAGTGCTTAACAAACCCAAAAAACAATAATCAGCAACACAAACATTTTTTATTTAAAACACAGAAGTCATAAACACAGGACTGAATAAAACAAGAATAAAACAATTAAATAAGTATCAATACTATTGAATTAAAAGCAGAATTATAAAAAGGTGGGTCTTGAGTTTGCTCTTAAAAGTAGAAACGCTCTCTGCCTCCCTCAGCTGGGAGGCTGCTCCACAATCGAGGGACTCAATAATAAAAAGGCGCCTTGCCGTTGGTCTTTGTTTTAACTTTTGGAATAATTTAAAAGCCAGTACCAGAAGACTGGAGGGTTCCAAGGGGTTCATAGGTTAAAAGCAAAGCTGCTAAAAGACTAGGACCAAGATCACCAAGAGCTTTAAGGTCTTGGTGAGGTCTTACAATACAAGTATTTAAAATAAATACAACTTTTGGCTCTATCAAACGTTATCAAAACTTTATCAAACATTTGGCCACTTTCTTACCTTGATTCTCTTGAGCAGCCACTGCATGAGTCCCTGTTGAGCTGCCTCGGTGCAAAGGCCTGGTCTGAACTCTGACATGTTTTCTACGATAGCTGAGAAAAACATAATATATAAATTTATATGATATGAAATTAAACTTTTTGAATCTTTGAAAGAAAATCTAAATTGAACTTTCAAGTTTTGTGTGCTTAAAGATCCCAAACAGACACATAAAATTCTCTGACAAAGATAAAAAAATATGCATGCACCAATCAGAATCAACCGATAACCTGTACAGATTCTGATCTAAATAGGCAGCAAGGCATGACCAATCCCCGTTTTAAGAGGCCCTGTTATGCTCTTTGGGGTTTTCCCTATCTGTTGTGTGTTATATAGGCTTTTGTGCATGTAAATGGTGTGCAAATCCTGATGTAATCCGTTACTCCCCAAGCCTGGTCACATTTGACAGGTCAAATGCCAGATGACATTTGTAAATAACTCAAAACAAAGAAAGTCATCTAATTGGAGGCAAAAACCTTTTTAGCTGATGTTTTCTCTAGGCTGGCGTCTCTAATGAATAACTACAAGAAAGGAGAGGTATGTACTAAGAACAAATAAACTATGACTGATTGTAAAATGCTATCAGTCATAAATTAGTACAAACTGATGCTATGCAAACACTTTGAAGGAATGCATCAGTCATATTTTTATAGCGGTTTCAGTCCCGGCTACTTCTAACATTATCTATCTATATTAGAAAGCTGTCTCTGCCATGATATCTTTATCAGAGCAGACTGCAGCAGGAGGGGACAGACAGAGAGATACAAAGAGATTGTGGTGTGCTGGTGATGAAAGGAGGGAGAGGAAGGGAAACCAAGGGGATATAGCGGAGGTAAATAAAGAGAGAGGGGAAAAGCAGAAGGGAGGCAAGGGGGTGGAAGGCTGAGGGATGCTGGGAGCAAGAGCACAACGCAAACTGTAGAGGGTTGGGAGAGAATAAAAAGGAAATAAATATTATAAAAGAGCAACATCTGGAGAGCTGTGGATGATAGAGAAATGATGAGAGGGGGGGTGCTGGGGGAGGAAGAGGATGTGCCTTTATCATGGATTCAAAGTGCGCAGACAGACAGCACCCTGGTGGACAGCAGGCTCAGAGCAGAGAGCAGCCAAGGCAGACAAAAGGCTTATTCAAGCTAGGAGAGCTCCCTTGATATCACAAACACGAATAGAAGATGCACAAGCTCTGCTTCCCTTGGACACACACACACACACACACACACACACACACACACACACACACACACACACACACACACACACACACACCTAACAGCCCTCCTGACACCCGGCCCCAATCTGGCAACAAAGGGAAAAAATCCTCTCGACATGAAAAGAGCTGAGAGGGAGAAAAGTCTGATTCATGCGAGGCTAAATACGGAGGCCATGACTTCTCAAACTATCTGCCTGTCTGTGCCCTCTACTTGCATTTAATGCAGAAAAAAAATCTATAAAAACACAATACAATTCTCTAATTCAGAGTTCACGCTTCAAAAAATGATAAAACGTGTTTGCCAAAACGGTTAAATGACAGCTTCTTTTCGCTGTTGCTTTAAAACAAAAAGTCTAGGAAACTTGCTAGAAAGCGGTTGAAGCCACGGATGTTATTTTCTGCAATATTTAGAAATCCATTGGAATGATCCCATTGAACTTTCGTCGAGGGAGCCCTTGCGATGCCCCAAGAAAATGTGTCATGAATGCAACGCTTTATGCTGGATCATTATCAGCTTATATGCCCTCAGTATTACCACTGGTGAGTGGCAGAATAAAAGCTTTATAAAATACAGGGGTAGTTTTTCATGGTGCTATTCATCTCCATGTCAATATATTTTTTGCAGGACAGAGCACAAAGAGAGTCACTGTTGGATTTATTTTGCCGTCACTTGGACACTTGCTAGCAAGGCGTGCTAACACTGGCTCATACACATCTAAAAAGACATAACTCTCTCTTGAAGGGATTGTCTGATTATTTCAAACTAGCTGCTATCCTTATCCAAGCCTCAGTACAGTCAGTTTATATACTATGCTTTGTTCAATGCTATAATTCCAATCTGTATCAGCGCATTTTGGGGAACTGAGATAATAATAAAACAGCATTTTTGTTTCTGTGTTCAAAGAGTGCGGTGGCCGACAGGAGCAACAGCGTTAGACCGGTCCAAAAAACTTCCATTAGAATCAGAAAGAGGTTTATTACCAGGTGGGTTTACACGTCAACAAGCATTCCCACTTTTTAGTGTCCCTGATTCTGTTGCTGCACATGTTTCGTCAAGTTGCGAAGATGTTTCTTAATTTGTATTTATTTTTGGCATATTTTTGTTTTATATATTTGCATCGTTTATATAAGTGCAGCTCTTGTAAGGCGCTGTAACGTGTTTGCAGCTGTCGGCCACCGTAGAAGAGTCGCTGTTATGGTGTACATGTCCTTACCCAGTGTGTTATAGATGCCATCTGCCTCCTCCTTCACCTGTTCATCCAGCCTCTCCATACTCTGCACCAGCAAGGCCACCACCTGCCCCTCCAACTGCAGACACAAAAACAGAAAGTCAGGCTGCGACACGTTTACCACTTTGAGAATAACATTTAAGCTCAACAGGAATGAAACTACTAACCCAACATAGGTCCTATTAAACTTTGTCAGAGTTTCGCAGATGAATCTCCCCAAAAAGATGTATGTTTATTGAATTGGTATCCATGGAGGTACACTTACTGAAGAAGGGCTTTTTGAGTGCAAAATGTGTTGAAATAAAATCTCACCACCGCCAACGTTGAAGTCTGTCACCTCAATTCTTTCTACATGTTTTTGCAACATGATGTAATTTTTGAGAGTAAAACTGACAAACTCATTTCACACAGGGTAAAACAATGCAGCGGCATGACAGATGACAAAGTGAATGTTCACTTTAACGCCTCAGTCTTGGCAGAAAAAATAAACGTGTTTCCTGTCTGAGCTTCTGTGAAAATGAGTGTTATCAGTCGAGGCGAGATGTTAGTCATCGCCAAACAGAGCTTGCGGGGTGCCGTCTGGCGGCATTAAAGTAGCGTTACAGATGAAAGAAAACGGACAGTTGACAGCGATTTATGAGCCGCCTTGCATCATTTCGATTCGTCTTATCAAGGATAGCACCTGGCCTTCTGGCTACAAAGACAGAGGAGCTGGAGCTTACAGCAACGAGGACAGAGAAATGGATGCAGCAGGGACTTTCTGCCCTGGAACCGTTTGCCCTTGGAAGCAGCTGCAAAGAGGAGCGTGGTTTACGGGTTGCTTCATTGCATGGTAACTAGACTGCTCTTATGCCTTTATCCTAGTGAGCTACTGTCTGGCCCACGAGCAAATCACACGGATGAACTGGAGGATTTCTGATAAGGCTTTATGACATTCATGTCTTCTTGTGATTCCCATTGTTTTTGAAACAATGAATGAATAATTGAAGCTTGATCAAGAGGGATGGTCAATGACGAACAACCGGAGCATAGATGTGACCACGCTGCTGGCACCATCTTTTCTGAGGCCATTCTCTTTAAAAGTTTATCCTGCAGTCTTTATTTAATGGGGTACTTTTATGCTCATGCTCAGATTTGTTTTTATTGCCTCCACTGTGACATGTTTACACGCTTTAATGTTCAAAAAGCTCTTTACTTTTCTCATATTGCCTGTGCTGCAGCACCTCTTTTCACCCTCTGTCTGAAAGCAGAGCCCAGTCTGCTCTGATTGGTAAGTTCGCCTGCTCTGTTGTGACACAGGGATTTTAGCCTCTGCAGAGCACCAAAAACACACTACAGGAAAGGGATAAGCCAAAAAGCTTTATAGGGCTTCTTTTAAGATGATGTCAAAAAATAATCAGCAAGACATTTTGACACCTCCTACTTGTATCCCCTTTACCTTGCATACTAGAGGACACAAGTCAGTGTAAGACTTGGCAACACAAGCAGAGGGCTATCTGGTTCCATTACAAATCAGACAAGGAAGACAGGGCCAACATGTCCAACACATGTCAACTCACAAGCAAACATTTCATTACACTTTTAAGTGAAAACAACATAATTAAACAAACTCAAAACAGCAATAAACGTGCAGGTAAGTAAGCCAACCCTTAGTAAGTACAGGGAACAGGAAAAACATGCAATTTTGCAGGATTGCATAACTGACCTTTTAAGATTTGATTCCATCTTTTAAATCTCGTCTTTTAAACTGTAATTACTTTATTTCAACTTACAATATATCTTAAGCAAATGTAATTATGTGCTTCTTTTATTTCCATTATAATGTAAAATAGTCTGTTGGTGTAGGTTGCAGCAATAGATCTGTAAGAGGACGTGTTTGTAGGAGTGATGATAAATAGCAGAGTGGCAGACAGCTGCCCACACAGTGTCACACCACGCCTCCTCCTTTTTGGGCTGGTCAGCCAGGTCATAATTAGCGCTCCTCCGAGAGGCTCACATTCTCCCTGCTCTGAAAACTCTCTCCTTTGCCTTTAAAGAAACCAACCATTGGGTTAATGATGTGTTCTTAATAAGTGTATTTTGTTTTTCTCAGTGTAATGTCTCTGAAAGAGAAAAATATGTAGGACTCTGCTAGAATATAATACAGTTACTGAAGACAATTATTGTTGACATATTTGTACTTGAGTATTTCCATGTTATGCTACGAATACATTAATTCCACTAAATTTCTTGAACCCTCACAGTTTCAAGCTACTTCTTAAACATAAAAACAGAAAACATATATAAATATAGCAGTACTGTACTTATAATCAACCCAGTACCTGCAGGTAAATTGGCTCAACACTGACAAACTAAAACCATTCATTTCCCGTTCTCAAATACCCTTGAAACATCATTATCAAATCAGGTAATTTATTTAGAAAATAACAAGCACTCTGATGGAAGACAGCAGGATGTCACCTGGCACCAACTCTGCCCCCTCAAGCAAACAGATTATTTGATAAAGTGTCACAGTGAGGGCCGTCAAGGAGCACACACACTTCTTTCCCCCGTTATATGAACATCAGCACGTTATCGTAGTTGTTTGACCTTTGTGTCGCTCGAAATGTCAGTGCGCATAATGCAATGGGGTGTCAAAAATCTTCCCTAGTTCATATAGACAGGGTGACATCGACAAAAAAAAGGGAGAGGGTTCAATAGAGGAAAGTGAAGCAGACAGAGAATATTTGATACAACACATGGAGGGGGACTGACAAAATAAAGTAAGAGAGGAGATGCTATAATTATAGAGTTGATATTACACTTTGAGTGTCTCTTTGTGAATTCAATCTTACATTTATTTAAATAACTCATTTGCATAAAGCTCAAAAGACATCTAAATTAATTATTATTTAGCCATGAAAGATAGCACAAGGCGGTAGCATATAAAGTGCTGCTATTTAAACCTGGAAACAAGTTAGCATTTTAGCGCTTCCGGTTCCCTCTTCCCAAGATTTTTTAAAATACGTTTCTTTTTAGAAGCCTGATTCAAGATCTGTGGTTATAACAAGTTTAAGCAATTTTTAAATGTGTGTTGTAGGGCATAAAACACGTCAATAAACTACCTCACTACCACCACTGGTGAATGTCTGAAGCTTTTATATGTTCAAAAATGGCGGATGCTAACAAGTGGCTGAATGAGACCACTAAGCGTCATCTTATCGAACATTAGCCGTCTTTAGCGATTGCATTTATGCTTCAAAAATTCTTATAAGGATGGTAATTTGTTAAAATGATCATGATGAACAAAATATGTAAGTATCATTTATACATCATTTTTACAATATTCAAAAATAATTGACTCCACAAAGTGCTGCCTCATCAATACCAGCAAAGACTCATGAGGACCCTGAACTCACCAGAGAATCTATGAGCACCTCGGCCCCTTCCTCGCTCTCCTGCAGCGTGTCGATATCTGTCAGCTCCTGCAGCAGGTCCACCACTGCTATGGCAACATGTGCCACACGCTAAGGACATAAGCTTGTATTTAAAGAGTAGTTAACCAGTTTAGTGTTGCACTTCTACAACACTCAGTTAATATTGACAGTTTGAAAAATAAAAAAGGATCAAAATAGATTTGTCCATCTTGTCAAAATGTGGCTTCAGCAGTACCAACAATGCAGCCCGACCACCAACATCTCAGGAGGAGATTTAATGACGAATTGTATGAATGGGCTTTTTTCCAGCATATTTTTGACTTGTATGAAAAGACATGGGTCAGAAAAGCACAGGTGTTACTAATTTCCTACAGCAGAAGCAAATCAAAAAATCAACTGGCGCAACATAATTACATCACCCCGTGTTAGTGCAGTTGTGTCCTCTTAGCATCGTGGTTGTCTTTCCCTAAGTCTGGTGAATTTTCAATTTCATATTTTCTAACCCCATGACGTTTTCACAGAGGTTAGGCAAAAGTGGTCAGGAAAAGCTACAGATGAATTTTTTTATTTGACAATTCAACTGTCACGCTTTCCCTAAACATTTGTCCTAAACAGTTTTCCTTAGCCTAGTTAGAATAACATCACACCTCCTATAGATGTTTTCACTAAATCCCTAGTGTATAATTAGCGACGATGGATGTTAATCACAGCCGAATGGTGCTTTGCTTTAACGTAGCTGCCGTAAGGAATTGTAGGAAGGCATTACATATTGAATGTTTGTTCTTTTTAGCTACTGTTTTTCAAATTGGCCTGTTTTCAAGTAAAATGTACAGACACAGAGCATAGTTTTAATGAAAGTGCGATGCATACTAAATGATTAAGCTTTTTGTAGTAAGTCTAACTCTAAAAGATGTCTGACTACCCTACACCATCTGTGGATCACGGTCTTTTGCCTGATCCCTTTTTAAAAACAACAAATATACAGTTTTGTATTAAAAAAAGACAAAAGCTGCAGTTATTTCAACATTGTATAACTGAATTGAGTAAAAGATTTATATTTTGGGAAATATTTTCAGCTCGAGTTTGGTGCGCTTGAATGTGGAATTCGTTTAAAATAAACTAGTGGCCATGTTTTTGGAGCTTTGTGTAACAGAAAATATAGTTTCAGGCTTTGGCTACACAGGCAATACTTGTATGTAATGTATGTATTGTTTTTAATTTAATTTGACAAGAAAAATACTACCACGCTAATCCTTTAAGACCAATGTTAAACACCAAATTCTGTATACAGGGTGAACGGATAGAAATGAAACGATCATTCTATAATAGAAAGGATATCAGTGTTTTCATGGCTGAGGAGGCCCAGCAGTGAGTGGACAGCATTGAGCTCCACCAGCAGGTGGTAGAGGTCCGGCATGGTGGCGATCACGTGCATCTCCTGGATGACGTCGTTCAGATCCAGCTCAGTCTCCATGAACCTCGTTTGAGGAGTGAAACATATTGGTTAGCATTTTAGAATTCCAGGTTACCATTAGGGATGCCAGAAACCGGCCATGATCAAATTCGAAAATCGGACAGCCCTAGGGTTGTCTCCCCGCGCACTTGTCAGTTCGAAGTAGTTCCACGAGGAACTCTTCTTTGAACGTACCGCTTTGTTCATCTTTAGTTGTGTTGTTCCCACTGTTCTGTATATCGCCAATAAATAAATCAATCAATCAATCCAAGTTTATAGTAAAACAAACTGGTGGTGTGACTAATGGCCATTTACAATTATTAATACTATTACTATTATTAGCATTAGTCTATATTTTGGTTGAAACTAAGCCAGGAAAAAAAAGAAAAACATAAATAATAATAAAAAAATATATAAGTCAAATCAAATTTTAAAAATAATTTTCGATTATGGAGACTGTAACGAATATTCGAAAAATTGAATAATCACTGGCATCCCTAGTTACCATTTCACTCAAAGTGCAGTAGATCAATTGTGTTATTGAAGGTGGGATAGGTAAGTTTGAGAAACCGGCTCGAGATACACTTTTTGTTATATTCCATGGAATGCTCTTAACATCCCGATAGCAATGAATATCTTAAGTGCTTTGACAAAAAATCCATAAAAAATGTCATCTGTGGAAGCCGTAGTACTGTAAAAAGCACGACCAATAATTTTAGCTGGCCCGGCTAAAATAACTGGATGGCCTACCTGCCTGTCAGCCTTCCATCTGTGCACAAACTTATCTCGTGCCCTCATTGGTCATGTTCGCGTTCGTGTGTGT